TTATAAACGTTTTTCTAACTACACCAAAACTACAGTTGGTAAATGTTGATGTCGACGACAGTCGATAAAAGAAATAAAATTCTTCCACAACCGGTTATGATTACGAAACGTTTTAAATATAGACACTTGATAGAGCTTTTCAAGGGCTATCAAATGGCCATCTTCTTGTTTTTTGTTTCACAAAGTATGAAGGACTAAAACTGAAAAAATTGTTTTTTGAGTTGTAAAGTAATCGAGGTCGAAGCTTCGCAGTATTTCTTCGATATTCTTTCATCTTTACGATATAGAAAAATGTTTAATATATTTTTTGTAGAGAATTTTACGACATATCTTTTAAGAAAACAACAAAGCTTAGGGAATAAAATCCAATTAAGATATGAGCAAAATACTAAGTGACCGATTTATTCTGGAACACCCGTTATAGTTTGCTTCGACTTTTTTTGAAACACATAATGTTTTCTTATTTTCTCGATTTTCGACGACCACTAAATACCGGTGTAAGAAAGTGGTGGGAGCATAAAATTATGAATGATTTCACCAAATTTGGGATAAAAAACTGACGAAGAGAAATCATGAATAAAGATAAGCGGCGTCATAGAATCAACAGACACATACAGGTTGAGCCAGTACACCAAAACATTTAAAACATTATTTATGAAAATAAAGAGCGAGCTAAGAAACAGCGAGCAGATGAACTAGTTCAATCAATTCTAGCTAAGACTCTCGCTGTAACTACCAGTAAGCATAAACGTTCGTCAAATTGTGACAGAGTGCGCAGGTATCACATATCTCTGTCACTAATAAAACAAAAGGATAATCAAGACGTTGCACTAATGTTCCGCTGGATTTGGAATTTTTCTGCGATTCTCATGCACGCAATGTATAATTCTCCGGAAAAAGCACAAGTCCTGCGGGACTCGAAATAAAACTTCGAGCACAGTGACAGTTTCGCGGAACTTCTCAGGAGATCCTCTACTACGATATAAAAAAGTCTGTTGTCTACGTATGCAGTCTTCGATTTTTCTTAACATTATCCGATCCTTTCATTGAAAACTGAAGATCTTGTAGATTTTCCTTCAGTTTGTCAAAAGTAGGTCTATCTGCTGGCTTATGTGCCATGCACTGTTTTAGAATTATATTCCATAGTTTATCACTACAATGTTGAGGACGACGTAGACGGTCTCCATTGGTTACTTTGCGTATTATCTCTGAATCTTTCTCAACTTTAGCCCATGGCAAAGCGCCTTTTGAACAAGTCTCCCACATAAGAACCCCCATAGAAAATATGTCTGACATCTCCGAATGACAGTTTTCAGATCCCATCAAAACTTCTGGTGCGGCGTATCTAACAGGAATAACGTTTGAGGTACATGGAGAACTGTCAATAGATAAATAGAGAGAACTGCCACGGCTAAGGCCAAAATCTGTGAGTTTAACGTGATTGTAATCCGATCTATGTGGGTGGAAGCGAAAAACTAGAATATTTCGACAGGCCAGATCTCCATGAACAACACGATTATGAGCAAGAAATGACATTGCATCGGTGATTTGTATGAAAATTTCCAGTACTACCACTTCCGCAGGGAATTCTTTAACATCTTCGAGTAATTCATTTAAATTGCTTTTAGGAGCACGTTCTTGTAATAACATCATAGAGTCGGATGATGAATGCTGAGTAGGATCGACCACGATTCCATATGTACGAAGTATATGAGGATGACAACTGAGTTCAAAATAAAATTGAGATTCTCGTACAGCACGCAGGCCATGTACTTTCATCAATACAATTAGTGGACCGTCTATATTTTTCAACCAGCGAGCTTCAAATATCATTTTTCCTGCAGTCTGATAGAGTGCCCGAGGACCTTTCGCCACATCAACATTAAGCTCAAACTGGTAACTTCTGGTCTGCACAGCACTCTGAAATTCATCTATAATCTTTCGAACTAGATGGTTCGGACGTAGGCCTTTAATGCTTATGGGCTCGTTTGTAAGCGGACTGGTGCCGTTTTTCTTAATCCACTTTATTATCTCATGTTCTTCATAAGTGTGACCATCTTCGGCAACTACAGGTACTTCGAATAGTTGGAAGCATAATGGACATTCAAGAATTGACTGTGCAACAGACACAGATGGAGTATCTATAGTTATATCAAAAGAAGAAAGTTTAAATGAAACTAGTTTGCTCAAATAGTACTTTTACCTCGTCCTCGTTGCTTGGTAGACGAAAATGAGGCTGCACTAAGGCTATTTGATCGTTGTTCTTTTGGTACTGATTCGAAATAGTCGTTCGTCTCATCTCCTGAATTAAGCAGTATCTCTTCTTCCTCGTCTGAAGATCGCGATTTGGTTGCTCGAGGAAATGATCTTTGTATCGGATCTACCGATGAGATCACAGGTGGTAGAGGATTGGCAGTTTTTCGTAAATCAGAACGAGGTTTTAACATAACTGGTGCTAGTGAGCGGTTCACTGGCGTATTATCATCTATTTCTGGCCTAAGAGAACTCTTCAAAGAAAAATCGTTGAAAAATATATCTTAGGTAGTTAAAGAAACCCCTGAAGAACGTATTTTCCTAGTGAACTGTCAGGTGACTTCATCAGACCACTGCAATGTGAAAAGAATGGAAACTGATACGCTGATCAAGATGCTGATACTCAAGACCAGATTATCTGAAACTTCACTATTATTTCAATCCAGTACTTGTCCAACCACTTCGTCCAGAACATGCGAATAAACTGATGATTAAGCATGATTAATTCAATCACTATTAACGCTAATCATAATTAAATATAATTAAATAAATTTGCACGGCTAATCATGATTAGACGGAGACAGAAAGGAAGATTTAAACAATTCTTTTGACACACGAAAGGTTTGTGAGAATATTTTATTAACATAGTTTGCTTCAACTTCAAAAAGTTTTATTCATGTGAATGCACTTAGATTAAACGATCTTCTTTTTTTTAGTAATTTTCATATTTGTAAGGCATTCTTATATTATTGGAAAACTAATTTTCGTTTCACATTGACATCAAGATGATTGACAGAGTAAGAGCGTTCATTTTCATTTGGTAAGAGAGAAATGAAATCGTCAGTCATCTGATCGTTCACTAGGAAAGTACATTTTCTAGGGGTTTCTTTGACCACCTGTTTTAAAGAACGGCCTTTTTACTGTTTTATACTCTCAAGTTAATCACAATTAGTCTTTTACGCGTGTTTATCTGTTTACACGAAAAGTCAGTTAATGATGATTAACTTTTAAGCATGATCGGATTTAATCATGATTAACGATGCCATCTAAAAGTAGTGTCATACTGTTGCATGTATAAACTATACTCGGTCGCTACACAACAAAAGATGATTGACTAGCACATGTCCTGCTGAAAGAAATTAAGCAGAAATCGCTGGTGTGTGGGCGATAGCTGGTAATTAGAGAAACATGCTAAATACTCGTCGAGGAATAAAGTTCGTCATTAGCGTCAAGCAGATTCACAAGGGGCTTTACCTTTGACGTGTTCGTTTCTGTAGATGTTCTAATTGGATATGTGTCGCTATTTATCAGCTGTTTCGAATTATTTTCATGGTGGTTATTCAGTCTCGAAAGATTATGACTGCCGAACAGCTTAAGGTCCTCAGCTGTGTGGTCTTTCCAAGTGGCAGAATATCGTCTCAATTCTGAACGATTGACAGTTGGATAGTTCGGTGTTACAGTTTCAAACAATACCTCTTGACTTGTAGTAGTTGAGTCATTTAATGATTTAAAACTTGTTAAGTCTGGATTTGATTGATCATGAGGGTTACGTGCTCGTCGACGATATTTAGTTTCTTGTGACATATCAGGGAATGTTCTATCTAAAATTCTTTATTGTACTACATATATTCATATCATGCAAAAATCAAGAGACGAACATACTTTTTAACTCCTCGAAATCATCATGTGCAACATTATTTTGCACATACATGATTGTATGATATCTACCACATGCAATATCATGGACAACAGAATTGCGAAATTTCTCAATATAATGAGGAGTAGATAAAAAAGGACAAGCATTGTAAACTTTTACTGACAGTTAAATCTTTCGTACCGGAAGTCCTATATGATGATATCTTGTGGTCGAAACTCATTTTCTTCTGTAAATCCTAATTTTCCAAACCGTCCTTCGCCCCATAAATATAATCTGCCGTTTTCATCGATAGTTCCTGTATGAAATGCTCCGCACGCAATTGATACTATTGTTCGGTCTTGTAGTGTCTTGATAATTTTGAATTTTGGGCTGGAAATGTGTAGCATCTCATTTCCCAGCTGTCCCTGTTCTCCAGTACCGCATGTATATACATAGCCGTCTGTGTCTAAAACGATTGTGTGTTGATATCCACAAGCTACAGATTTTATTTTGATGGGATATGGCAGCTCTACAGGTACAATTTGTTTTTGTTCCCCCGTTCGTCCTAGTTGCTGATAACGATTCGAACCAAAAGTATGCAAGCGACCTTGATTATCGATCAGAGCTGTATGAGCTTGACCACACGCAATAAAATGAACGTAAAAATTTAACTTTAATTTGTATAACAATTTGATCATTTGCTTTTCTTCTACACCACATTGTCCTTCTGAATTTGAACCCCATACATACACAAAACCATCGGAAGTTAATGCACTGCTGTGATGTGCGCCGCAAGCTAGCTGCTTCCATTGCACGTTCGCCGGTACATGATCAAGTGATAGTTGTGTAGGTGCCAAGATCAATTGCGCTTTTGTGTTAGATTTTTTGCTGTCAATGCCTAACTGGCCAAAACTATTCGAGCCAAAACCGTACAAGAAGTCCCGGGTTGTAGCAACGATTGAATGCTCACTACCACAAGCAGCTAAGTGTACTTTGTCCTCAGGAAACTTTAAACCTTTGATACACGTTACTTTATCGATTGCCTTAGTATGTCCAAGCCCCATCTGACCTAAATTATATATTCGCACTTCAGTATGCACTGGCACTAGTGGGCCGATTCTAATTTGAAAAAAACGGACTGAGAACAAAAATTCGAGATAAAATGAATTAATTTATTCTTTCTCTCTGTTAAACAGGCTTGCGATTTGATAAAAACGCTAATTATCAGTTATCTCATTAGGAAAAGCTTTTTACTGTCGTCATTGGAACAAAAAAAGTAGAGAATTAAATTTTACATCCGCCATAAAGGGTGGGCCAGAAGTCCTGACTCGATTTGAATAATAAATTTTTCTATAGTGAAACAAGTGGTTGTAAATTTGTCTCTATGAAGAAAAGATGCAGTAAAAAACGCTCTACAAAATGACGATT